CGTCTATTTTCTTATATTCATAATATCCTGCAATTGTAAACTGGTTTCTCTATTTGCCCAATCATAATATAAACCATTAAAAGACAATATTTAAACCAGAAGACTGAAATTAAACGTGAAATCATAAAATATTCGTCTTTACTGTCTCATACTTTGTGGATATCCCTGTACATGGAAAGTTCTGATTTCACAAGAACTGTTTTTTGAAAAATATGTTGAAGGATTTGACAACGATAACATAACTGAAATTATAAGTATTTAAAAATTAATGTCACTTTTAGTGTCCAAATATTAAAAAATTTAAACTATACCCATATAAATATATCCTTATTTGTGAACATATCTTGATAAAAATAATTTTCATAAAAAACTTTCAGAACTACATTTTTACATTATTGCATGAGATATTTTTTTAATAATAAATGAGTAATTTAATTAGAGCATGTATTCTTTAATTAAAGTATGTATTCTTTAATTAGAGCATGTATTCTTTAATTAAAGTATGTATTCTTTAATTAGAGCATGTATTCTTTAATTAGAACAATTATTCTTTAATTAGAACATGTATTCTTTAATTGGAGCATGTATTCTTTAATTAGAGCATGTATTCTTTAGTTAGAGCATTTATATTCTTTAATTAGAGCATGTATTCTTTAATTAGAGCATGTATTCTTTAATTAGAGCATGTATTCTTTCATTAGAGCATGTATTCTTTGATAAGAGCAGGTTTTCTTTAATCAGAGCATGTATTCTTTAATTAGAGCATATGTATTCTTTAATTAGAACATGCATTCTTTAATTAAAGCAAATGTATTATTTAATTAGAACAAGTATTCTTAAATTAGAGCACGTATTCTTTAATAAGAGCATGTATTCTTTAATTAGAACATGTATTCTTTAATTTCACATTCAACAAAAGTGATTGCACCTAAGACCTCATAATACTCGTATGTAAAATCAAAACTAAAGAAGCTACGAGGTCACAATGTCGGATACATTTGACCTTCTGTTTCAGTCTAGTTTGCAGCATGGTTTAAATGAAATTAATAGTATAGATTATCTTACTTACACAATATAAAGAATCCATGGTTTCACGAGCATAGTAAATGAACGAATAGTATTGTGAACTAGTCAGCATATAAGATAATTTATAAACTACCTGGTGGTGCTATACGCCTGGTTACACATTAGACATTAGACATGTGTCAGTCTGTTATTCGTAAAACCAGTCATGCACCAGATTGAAACGGGTTGCGGGGATAAATCTAGATTTTTATTTAAAACTTTTTTTTGACGTTATAAAAGGATTTAACGCTTTTCATGTTTTTTTTCAGGCAAGGCCATGTCATGAGCCTTTCGAATCTATATTGTTTACAGTATATATTTATATTGTTTACAGTATATATATTTATATTGTTTACAGTATATATATCTATATTGTTTACAGTATATATCTATATTGTTTACAGTATATATATCTATATTGTTTACAGTATATATCTATATTGTTTACAGTATATATATTTATATTGTTTACAGTATATATATCTATATTGTTTACAGTATATATATCTATATTGTTTACAGTATATAATTCAACGAGAGCGCAAATTCAATCTCTATAAAATTCTTCTTGAATTTCTTACTCCTTACACAATAAACCTATGTCGGCCAGATGATGTTTACGACTGTGTGCGTCCTTCTTATCTTTCTCTCCGAATTTCAGAAAAAATCCACGAAATTTTTAGTTGGAAACATTAAACATTAAAAACATAATTAATAATTATAACCTACATACCTGGATTATCTCTAACATTTCTTCAAATTTGAAAACATTTGACAATATTCTATAATAAATTTCGGATAAAAACAGCTAAATGTTCTGAAACTTAGGAGTTTAGGTTTTTTAACTATTTCACACGTACTGTTAATTTATTTTGTGATAATAACTATAGGATGTCCCAAGAGTCCCAATAAACATGGAAATTAAGTTAACAGAATTTAGTAGCATCCCAGTTATAAAAATTACATAAAAAAACTCCCAGTCGATCAGGAATTCCAAAATGTGGTCTAGCGCATTTTTGAAACATCAATAATGAGAGAGATTTTAGTTCTAAATTACAATGAAATTGTTCAAATGTCAATTTAAAAGATATACATAAGGCAGACAACATTTAAAAAAGCTTAACCTTTTTATGATACCCTTTTTTCATTTATCTAGTATAAGTAATAGAAGACGATTTTCAAGTCGTCTCTTAATTTCCATGTTTCTTGGGACACCCTGTAAATCCAATTATCATTGTCATTGTCATCTCAACATCATAGAAGATTGAAATTCAAAATCTTTATTTTTTAACAAAAACAAACAATTTCTACTTTAATTTACTTTTTTTTGCAAGAATATAAATATTTGGTTTGGTCCGTGGTAGAACAGGGGGGAATCTGAAAAAATAATATTTGTTTATTATATTTGAATATCTATCAGGATTTAAAGGGACTGTAAACGTAATTTCTAGAGATGCATTTCAGATTCACAATGATACTCTTTAAACCTTTGTTTTAACAAAAACGATGGAGTTATCCCCTGTATATCAATCTAAAAATTGATTGTTTTCAATTTAGGTTCTGTATAAAAGTACCTTGTGAACTTAAGCAGCAGAAAAAAAGAAAGAACATCTTACTTACTGTTAATCCAATAAAAACTGTTCCATTGTGAATCCGGCATGTAAAACTTGAAATAACGACTAAACTAGATTGGGCTCAGAGGCGTACTCAGGAATTTGTCCAGGGGTGGGGAAGGGATTTAAATTCTAGGACTTGTTTTCTTAAAAAAAAACTGATGATCAAAACCAATTAACCAAAAAATATTTTAAAAATCACCTGGCAGGTTGAATATCTAATCCATCATAGCTAAATATTTCTTCCAGGATTTCAAACTTTTCTATTCATACAGATATTCATTTGTGATAGAATTCTAAGATTTTAAAAGAAATTATACTAAGGCAGAGATAGACATGTAGACCAGTGGATTGACAAGACACTACATAAATAGATAGACGAGTAGATAGACGAGTTGATAGATGAGTAGATAGACGAGTAGATAGACGAGTAGATAGACGAGTAGATAGACAAGAAGATAGACGAGTAGATAGACGAGTAGATAGCCAAGTAGATAAACAAGTATTTACACGAGTAAATAAAGAAGTAGATAAACAAGTAGATAGACAAGTAGATAGACAAGTAGATAGACGAGTAGTTATACGATTTAATAGACAAGTAAATAGACGAGTAGATAGACGAGTAGATAGACGTGTAGATAGACTAGTAGATAGACGAGTAGATAGGCGAGTAAATATACGAGTAAATAGACGAGTAGATAGACGAGTAAATAGAAAAGTAGATAAACAAGTATTTACACGAGTAAATAAAGAAGTAGATAAACAAGAAGATAGAGAAGTAGATGAACAAGTAGGTAGACAAGAAATAGAAGAGTAAATAGACGAGTAAATAGACCAGTAGATAGACGTGTAGATAGACTAGTAGATAGACGAGTAGATAGACAAGTAGATAGACGAGTAGTTAGACGATTTAATATACGAGTAAATAGACGAGTAGATAGACGAGTAGATAGACGAGTAGATAGACGTGTAGATAGACTAGTAGATATACGAGTAGATAGACGAGTAAATAGACGAGTAAATAGACTAGTAGATAGATGTGTAGATAGACTAGTAGATAGACGAGTAGATAGACAAGTAGATAGACGAGTAGTTAGACGATTTAATAGACGAGTAAATAGACGAGTAGATAGACGAGTAGATAGACGTGTAGATAGACTAGTAGATAGACGAGTAGATAGACGAGTAAATATACGAGTAGATAGACGAGTAGATAGACGAGTAGATAGACGAGTAGATAGACGAGTAGATAGACGAGTAGATATAAGAGTAGATAGACGAGTAGATAGACTAGTAGATAGACGAGTAGATAGATGAACAATTCAAAATGAATGATTGCAAAAGAAAGCCCAGATGTTACCCAAAGGCCAACACCTCTTTAACTGTACAGAAAAACGGCAATTTTAATTATCTTTAGCCTTTGAACACAACATAGAGAAGCGGCTCTTCATTTTGGTTTAGAAGTGGAAGAAATAACAGAAGAAGAAGTGACCTGACCTAATATCTGGGATACAAAAATAACAACAACAAAGTAGATAGACCAGGACATAGACAAATAGATAGACAAATATATAGACAAGTAGATAGACACCTAAATAGAAAAGTAGAAAGAAAAGAAGATATACAAGTAGACAGACAAGAAGACAGACATCTAGAATGTAGATAGACAAAAAGAAATAACTAGATAGACAAGTAGAAAAAACTAAAGGAACAAGTAAATAGAAAAGAAGATAGACATAAAAGACAAGTAGATAGACAAGTAAATAGATGAATATGTAGACAAGAAGCTAGATGGATAAATAGACATGGAGATAGAAAATTAGAAAGAAAAGTATATAGACAAGAAGATAGACAAGTAGACTAAAAAGTAGAAAATAAATAGATAGACAAGTAGACAGACATAACAGACAAGTAGAGTCCTAATCAGAAAGACCCAGAATCAGACGACTTTCGAATTTAATTTTGCAAAAATTATCAATGAAACTATAATCACATAATAGCCCAAGTCCTGCCAATTACAAAGTGTGGTCTGCCTTATTGAGCATTTAAAATTGCCAGAGATATATATGTCAAGTTGCCTGATTAACTGTCAATTAATTCAGGGTTATTTTGATTATGACTGTAGATAGACATAATAAACAAGTAAATATAAAAAATAGACAAGTAGAAAGACATAATAGACAAATAGATATATAGATAGAAATAACCGACAAGTAGATAGACATAATAAACGTAGAGAAAAAATAAGATACAAATATTAACATGATATTTAGAAAAATTAGTAGATATTAAGATTAATAGTTTTTTAATTAAAATATGAATATTTCCTAAAAAGTGTTTCATCTCCAAGGAATACTTGTTTTGTCCTAAATATATTAATTTACATAAATATATATAAATGTATCAATATTGAAAACGCTTTTTTTTGGCGATTTTGAAAATATGAATTATTCCAAGTCTCCAGGGAGTGGATTTTTGAACAATTTTTGAGGACAATTTATTCATCTTCAAAATAAGCAAAAAAGCAAAAAACTTAAACGCTAAGTATAAATTTTCAAAATTTCATTCCATTGCTCAAAAAAATTCCTACTATCCACTCTCAAAAATACTACTTCTGCCCCCCCTCATTTTAATAAAAAATAACCCCCAAAAACAATTAAAAACCCATTACCTGATACTAGTANATTACCTGATATAAGTAAATGAGTGTAGTTGTCTTCTAACTCCTTCAAAAACAAAATTATATAAATTTTTACAATTTAAAGAGATTGGTACCTAATCTTCAAAAGAACAAAATATTAACAATATTGATATTATCTGGACGGTATCCTTTAAACCTTCAACTCTTCAACAATCATGATTAAATAGTAAAAATTAGAAAAGAAAAGTTAGAAATGGTCGTTTATTGTTTCTCAAGAACCCGTAGAAATTATAGATGACATTCTTTCATCACAGAGACCCTTAAAATACGTTTATGCACCCTTTAAACATGAAAAACAACAAGAATAAAGCTAATAAAAAGCATACACACTAATAAAATAACACAACGTTAAGGCATTATAAAAATTAAAAGATAAGATTAGAGGGTTAAAGTAATTTTCTTTAAAAATGATTTTTTTTCTCAACCTAATTTTTTTTCTTTATACTTTCCTACTATTTGGGTTTTTTTTCCCTCGCTTTTTTGCAGATTTTTTTGCATTTTGGTAACAGAGACAGCCTTATAATGCAAAAACCATGATTTGTATCATGCTTTGTGGGTAACCCTGTATTTTCTCAGTTTCTAACCTGCAATGTTAAGTTTTCAGTTTTATCGTAAACCCAGTTTTTGTTGAGCTGAGTAAACAGTGAGATTCCTATAATATTATAATTATAAAATGATTAAAATCAATCAATCAATCATTGAATAGTTGTACGAGGTAACGAATGAATGAATGAATGAATAAATGAATTAGAGGATGAAAGGGTAAATAGATGGATGGTTTAAAGGATGGAAAAATAGATGAATGAATGAAGTGATGGATGATAATTGATAAACCTGTTTGACAGGAGAATACATCAAGATGAACTCGAACATTTTCCTTCTCAGCCTACAAACAATAGGTCTAGCCGGTGCAACAAGGTTGACGCGGTCAGACTTTATGCTTCACATAGGTTGAATTCACTTTTACTAAAGGGGCAGAGGTGCGTGACTTCTAAGATTATATTTGATAGAGACTTTTGCGAGTTATACTGTTTTTAACTGTGTATATACTGTACAATAAGGGAGGTCGATTTATTAGTCGCGTAAGTTTTTATAAATGCTTAACAAGCCTCAGGGCAAAATTTATGGGTATTCAAACAGTAAATAATCAATCGTCTATTCCACACACCTCTGCCCCTTTAGTAAAAGTAAATTCAACATATATGAAGCATAAAGTCTGACTGCGTCAACCTTGTTGCACCGGCTAGACCTGTTGATTGTCTGCTTTATAAACCCAATGTCCATGGGGTACAGTACAAACTGGGACCAGAAAGGTTGACCCGGTTCGGAATGTACTACGGCTGCCTGTGATTCGTTGTTCTTTAAAGCGTCATTTCAAGAGGCCAGCTATGCAAAGATAACAATGCCCGATTCACAGAGGTACCAGTTTAAGAATAAAGTTAAAACACTTTTAAACTTATATTTTCCATATTCCTGATTAGATAAATGTTTTCGTGGTACCATATGTGAATCGGACATTGCAATATTTTAACGGAGGGTCACTTGAAATCACGCTTACAGTCCCTTTAATTCAATGTTTTTCAAAATTATCAGAATTGGGGACAGTCAACAAAAATTTTAAAATGATAAATTATATTTTTAGAAAAATAGGGAAAGACCTGTAATAATGTTGCAGGGTTCAGGGGAGATTAGAATTCTAATATTCTCCACTTTTAATTCTAGATCTTGAACTCCTTGAAGCTTCGTCAATTTTATGAAACATAACATAAAAACACACCTAAAACATTAAAGGGGACTGTAAGCGTAGTTTTAAGTACAGAATGTCGTCTTCCAAATACTGGATAAGATTTAAAGACTTTTTGCAGTTTAGTTCGATAGAAAAATTTTTTACTCCAACATATCTTAATCTATGGTCGATTTTACTGTAATAAAACTGCCATATAATGTTTATTATTATTCTCTTTGGTATCAAACAACTTAACAAATTATGGAAGAAGACATTTTAGATATTCACCATCTGTCATGTTTCGTGGGACACCCTTTATATCTTTGAAAGATGGCAATTACTGATTTACAAAGTTACACTTTATCTGATCATTAATGTGGAAGATATTATCGTGTTTCTAGGCTTAAAAGTGTTAAAAATTCTGATATATCTTATGATTCTCTGCACTAGAAATGCAAAACTCACTTTGCTGAGAAACTTCAATCGAAAACAATCAGATTTAAAAATATAGCAAAGCTTTTCAGGGTACCGTTGGGTATCGGGCATTGCCATCTTTGCATGGAGGGTCATTTGAAATTAAGCTTACAGTCCCTTTAAAATCCACGTTATTAAAATAGATGCATCCGTTTCAGTTTCAAAAGCTAAGTAAAGAGTAAGATTAACTATTAAATAATTAATTCTAAAAATGTTGGCAAGACGAAAAAGTTAGTTTAGTTATTAAATAATAAAGAAATAACTATTTAAAAAGGAATTTAACAAGGTCACAATAATTTGGAAACTATGTGAACTAGTTCTTAGATCATGATGTGTTTATTTCTGTAAAACTAAATTGAAGAAAGTTCTAAGTTCTCATTAGTTTTCTTTCCAATTTGTGTAAAACTTCTTTAAACACAGTTTCTTGCAGAAAGCAATTTTTTATTGTAAATGATTGTTAGCTAAAGCTTGGGACAAAATAAAAATGCTTGAACCTTCTTAAAAAGAGAACATTTCTGTTCAAAAACACACTGCGAACCAAAATAATAGTTTTATAAATAGTTTGAAAGTCCCGCTCGATGACGACTACAAGAAATTTATACTGTATACAAAATTTAAATCAGAGTCTAAAACTAAAGAATGTGCGAAATTTAAAATTTAAGTTTTAGCTTAAAAGTTCTGTAAAATAATGAGTTGCTAGTGCTACTTAAATATTAAACTTTCTCAAAACAACCATGAAGGGAAATTTGAATTTCCCGGGAAAAATCTGAACCAATCAGAGAAAAGGATTTACGGAGAGATATTATGTAACCATTGCTCATCAGCTTTTTTTAAATTTTGAATTTTTTTTGAACCGTTTTTTAATTTAATAAATTAAACGTGAAATCATCAAATACGCGGAGTTTTTGGTCGTCTTTACTGTCTCATTTTTTGTGGATGTACATGGAAAGTTCTGATTTCAAAAGAACTGTTTATTGAAAAATATTTTGAAGGATTTGATAACGATAACATTACTAAAATGATAAGTATTTAAAAACTAATGTCACTTTTATAGTGTTCAAATGTTAATTAAAATTTAAACACCATACCCATATATATATATAATTATTTGTGAACATATCTTCATAAAAATAATTTTTATAAAAAACTTTCAGCACTATTTACATTTTTACATTATTGCATGAGATATTTTTTTAATAATAAATGAGTACTTTAATTAGAGCATATGTATTCTTTAATTAGAGCATGTATTCTTTAATTAGAGCAGGTATTTTTTAATTAGAGCATGTAATCTTTAATTAGAGCATATATTCTTTAATTAGAGCATGTATTCTTTAATTAGAGCATGTATTCTTTAATTAGAGCATGTATTCTTTAATTAGAGCATGTATTCTTTAATTAGAGCATATGCATTCTTTAATTAGAACATGTATTCTTTAATTTCACATTCAACAAAAGTAACTGCACCTAAGACCTCATAATACTCGTATGTAAAATCAAAACTAAAGAAGCTACGAGGTCACAATGTCGGATAAATTTGACCTTCTGTTTCAGTCTAGTTTGCAGCATGGTTTAAATGAAATTAATAGTATACATTGTCTTACTTACACAGTATAAAGGATCCATGGTTTCACGAGCATAGTAAATGAACGTATAGCATTGTGAACTAGTAGGAATATAGGATAATTTATAAACTACCTGGTGGTGCTATACGCCTGGTTACACATTAGACATTAGACATGTGTCAGTCTGTTATTCGTAAAACCAGTCATGCACCAGATTTATCCATGTTTATCTGAGCAATAATAAGGATGATATCCATGTTTATCTGAGCAATAATAAGGATGATATCAGGGGGGATGATAGTTTCCTACCTGTGTGCTCAGTTAGCTGTACTGTACACTGTTTACTAATAATGATATACTATAGGTTAGGCCAGAATCTCCTTATATTAAACAAATATGCAGTACGCTCTCGGTATAGTTTATGGCCTATACAATTAGTAAAGGACTAGCGTACATCATCACTCTATACACTATAACCTCGTTGGATCATATCTATGTTTTTCTATAAAAGTGAGTAGCGCAATAACCATGATATTTTCTACATTATTGATCAGAGGAGGGTTCAAATGGTACCGTTTTGGATCGAACATGCCACTTCTTGAATTGAGACTCACTTAACAACAACAAAAGTCACTAAATAAGTTACGTTGCAAAACTTAAATGGATGGTTTTCATTTCATTAAACAAATGAAAAAATTCCTTCGAGTCCAAATATAGTTTAAAGCAATGGCGGCAGCAGTGTTTAGAAGTGGAAACGTGTAGATTATAAACCTAGAATATTTAAAGGGACTGTTCAACTAATTATAAACCTAGAATAGTTAAAGGGACTGTTAAACTAATTATAAACCTAGAATGTTTAAAGGGACTATTAACCTAATAATAAACCTAAAATATTTAAAGGGAATGTTAAACTAATTATAAACCTAGAATATTTAAAGGGACTGTTAAACTAATTATAAACGTAGAATATTTAAAGGGACTTTTAACCTAATAATAAACCTAAAATATTTAAAGGGACTGTTAAACTAATTATAAACCTAGAATATTTAAAGGGACTGATAAACTAATTATAAACCTGAAATATTTAAAGGGACTGTTAACCAAATTATATTAACCATGCGTTTTAACTTTTCTTTATACCCATTTTCCAAAGAATATTTTATGGGCTTTTACGGTATTGGCTAATCAACAAATTCTATTACTATTACTAATGGACAGCTAAAAACTTCTAAATCAAATAATCAAAACAAAAAATATTAAAACTTTGAATCAAATAATAAAAATTTCTAAATCAAATTGCTAAAACTTACAAAGCACATAATTATAACTTCTAAATCAATTTACAAGATTTTTAATATCAAATATTCTAATTTAATAGCTAAAACTTCTTTATCTATTAAGTAATAAAAACTTCTGAATCTGAAACAATCAATTATAGGCCCAACATCAAACTTTGATCTGGAAGGCCCAACAAATGACCATGACATCAAAAACATGGTTTTAAATTTTTAAAATTAAATTTTTTTTTCTTAAATAATAGTTTTACCTGAGTTCTTTATGGGGAAGAAAAGAATACAAGAAAATTCTGGATTCATTGCTGCTACTGTATTTCCTGGGTTCCTAGTTTTCGTTTGATATGCATAAAGCCATAGTTGAAACATTTTCATTTTTGGAGGTCATTTAGGTTATATAGATGGTCAAACACTTGATTCCTTGCTGCTACTGTATTCCCTGGGTTCCTATCTTTCGTTTGATATGAATAAAGCCATAGTTAAATTATTTAAATTTTTGAAGGTCATTTAGGTCATTAGAGGTCGTAAGAGGTCATTAGAAGGTCAAACACAGGATCTGTTGCTGCTACTGTATTCCCTGGGTTCCTAGCTGTCGTTTGATATGCATTAAGACAGCTGTCGTTTGATATGCATTAAGACAAAACCGTTAAGGTTACCGTTGTGAATCGGGCATTGTCATCTTTGCATGGAGGGTCACTTGAAATTACGCTTTAAGGATGGTTAACAAATTACATTCTGTAAAGAATTTGTTAAAGAATATTTTCCTAGTTCTGGCCACAATGTTCTCCCCCAGAAATAGGAGTCCACGCAAACAGTAATTGGGATGAAAACTAGAAAAAAGATTTCTAAAAATATGTTTAATCTTTAAGTGTCCGAACTTAATGTATTTGAGCCGAGTCTTAAATCCGCCAAAAATCGGATTCAATTGAGCACCGACTTAAATCTTGAAACAATGAACACGATTTTAAGTGGAACCAACCATATTTAAGCCGCGACTTAAATTTAAGCTTCGGTTCAAATTTTTTAAATTCGGCCCCTGATTAGAAAAATACAACCCACTAACTAAAGTGCCGACAATGCCACCATAGAAAAACACTATATAATAAACTTCAAATTTTGAAAAAAATATGTTACTCCCAGGATACCCATGGGTTCACTCAAAAAATGTCATCCAATTTGGTTCAGCCGTTTTGCCAACTTTTGCTAACGTATAAATATATGAACAAAAAGCTTTATTATAAAGAACATATATCTAAACAATATGACCCAAAACCCCTTTTACAGGGAAGAAAATTCAAAACTAGGAATTTAATCTAGAGCTGACAATCCGTGTCAATTTTGAATAAAAAGCATTGTTTGGAACCTTCCTCCCCTGGACTAAGCAATATAATACATTTCCGCGATCTATTACATTTAAATTTATTTCTTTTAAATTTTATGAACTAAATTTTTTGGGGTAAAAATGGATCAAAGTCAATGGTCATTGGACAATAAACATACAATTGCAATTTCAATAAAAATATTTTTTTAAACATTACCTAGAAGAGAAATTATTCCATACTTCAGAATCTCTTTTATGCTAAATATCAGAAATAATCGATATTTTTTGAAATTACAGTGTTAGACAAATGAGTTTGCCTGTTTCACAAATAAAAGACTTTTCTGTTTGTTTGTTGGTTGGTTTGCCTGTTACCAAAAAACGTCAAAACGATTGAGAAAATGTAAAGCTTTTTGTTAGAATCGGCTCAACAATTTATAAGACATTACTGACACGACTTTCTAACCTCGTAGCTTCTCTAGTTCTGATTTTATTCACAAGTATGAGAAAACAGTTTTTTTGTTAAACAAAATATATTTTAAACAATTTCGTTCTTCTCTCTCTTAGATGAGAGGAGTTACGATTCCTATCATGCAAGATTTCAGTCTAACGTAAAACTTACTTCTAATTGACGAACTACAGGGTGTCCCAATAAACATGGGAATTCAGTGAAGAATTCGATATCGTCTTTTTAAATAATTCTTTGATTTAGTATAGTGATACCTACTGAGAAAGCTGTAATCAGTAAGAATTTCGTCTGTTATGTTCACATTTTGTTTGTTTATGTTTTGACTGCATACGGTTGTACTTAGTAAATCAAGAAAATTACAGTATACAAACAGAGTAAACTTATCCGTCTTCAAAGTTCATCTTGCGGAGACATTATAGACACATCTTTAGNTAAAAAATCTTGCGACCATCTGTTGCAGAAACATTGGAGAATATTGTCAGAATAAAACACTAATAAAGCTAGAAAATCGACAATATCTTCCACATAATTCATCAGATAAGATTGAAGTACATCTGAAACTTTTTAATTTGTATTAATTTATATGTTTAATATAAATACGTATATTTTAGTTTACAGGGAAAGCCAGAAAACTGTAGAATAGGAATACGACATTAAAGCAAGACTGAAGTGAATTTGATGTTGTTACAAAGCAAATATCTTTACTATTACGTTATTATCAGATATTAAGTTAAATGGGTCTGTTTACATTGCACAATTACTGTGCCTCATATTCATTGGACTATTTAAAGTCAAAACTTGAGTCTAAAAGTCGTCTTCCTATTCCAACATTTTCTGCTTTTCCTTTACAAAGTTTAGTTGATATAAAAAAAGTTACTTTTTAAATCACGATATTTCAGACTTCAATTACAATTTTCAATTATATTTGATTTGTTTGTTTCAGACAATACTGTCGTTTTTGAGCCCCAAACAAACAAACAAACAATCACCCAGACAAGAAAATAAATACCTAAAGCGAATATGTTGGGAAGAGGACGGGATGCGTAGAAGAGAAAATGAAACTGAGAAATAGATAATAAACACAACCAGGTCCCAATATTAGGACCATACCTAAAATATAGGGACTGTGAGAGATGGATAATAAACACAATCAGGTCCCAATATTAGGACCATACCTAAAATATAGGGACTGTGAGAGATGGATAATAAACACAATCAGGTCCCAATATTAGGACCATACCTAAAATATAGGGACTGTGAGAGATGGATAATAAACACAATCAGGTCCCAATATTAGGACCATACCTAAAATATAGGGACTGTGAGAGATGGATAATAAACACAATCAGGTCCCAATATTAGGACCATACCTAAAATATAGGGACTGTGAGAAATATAAAATAAACACAACCAGGTCCCAATATTAGGACCATACCTAAAATATAGGGTTTAATTGGTTTAATTGGTGTGATTATGTTTATATATCACGGGTGTGATAATTTAAAACATCTCTTTTCCGACTTCATTGGCCGTTCAGGAATTCAGTTATCGAGCTTATTTTTGAAAATGTTCAGGTTTCCAGCACTTTTGATTTCATACGGAATATCATTCCATATATTGATAACTCTTGCACTAAAAAAGGGACTGTGAGAAATACATAATAAACACAATCAGGTCTCAATATTAGGATCATATTTAAAATATATGAAACTCTGATTGGTTGAATTTTAGACACATTTCTGGATACAAATACGGATTAAATTAATCTGCAGATTTCCAAAAAGAGGAGATCAAGCATTGATCTCGATATCCGCAATACACCCCCCATTTCTTGAGTGGTATGTCCGATTAACAAAGGTACTCTTTAAAGATTTGTCTGATAGAAGATGTATATATTAACAAAGGTACTCTTTAAAGATTTGTCTGATAGAAGATGTATATATTAACTTATATGCATGTTTTTAAATTTGAAAAGTGGATTGTTTAATATTTTCAATTGTGTTTTTTTTACTACATTACTTGCGCATTTCTGTTTAAGAGAATCAAATGAGGATCTTTATTTAACAATGCTGCTCGTTCGGACTGTATTATTTTAATAAAAGTTTTAAAAAGGCTAAAAAAACAATTTATGAACATTTTATCACAGATACAACAACTAGGGATGTGTCTGTTCACACTTCCCTGTGTTAGTTTCAAAGCATTGTGTGAAAATCTATCAAGCCTTACAGTGCTGTCATCATACCACATTTTTAGCAACCGAAAAACACTACACTGAGACCAAGAAACCACCTCTGAATAACTAAACTATACTCATGCCAAAAGTCTTGTATTGCATCTGTTTCTTGGCAAACCCTGTCAATTATAAAATACGATATCCAGAGAAAAGAAAGAGTATTAGTTTGTATTAGTTTTATATTGTTTAATGTAATTTTGCCTTAGACAAATATAAATGATGAATATATAGAATAAAAAAATTTACCTTTTTTGGATAGAATTCTTAAAGGACACAAACGCTGATATAACAAATATTCCGAGAACTCCTCGAACTAAAACATGTTTGATTAAAGGGACTGTAAACTTTATTCTTAGTGACCCTTCATTCACAGACGGGAATGTCAGATCCTATTAGATATTATTGTTTTTCTATCTTTAAATTATTGATTTCAAATTTACGTTGACTGTAAAAGACAAAGTAAGAATTTTTTTGATTGGTAAAATCTTTTTTTCAGAAAAGAAAAATAAATTACATCAAATATTTTTTTTGTTGGCTCACCTATGTATTGTGAATAGAATTTATTAAGTTTAAATAAATTGAGCAGAGCTATGAAGGGACTGGATACCAGAGAGACAACTAAAAATAATGTGTATTTAGAGCAGAGAGGTGGGATTTAATGAATATAGTGGGACGTGGTTGAATTAGGTTTGACCAGTTGAACTACAGTGTGAACCAGAAATTACTGTACTTCTCAGGTCCACTCTCAGCAACAGTGAAAAGAAAGTACAACTATCCTTCCTAATTTATACTTTTTAATTTACTTATTTTAATTTTTAATTCGGGTTCATTATTAAATTAAAGGGCCGATGAACTATCAAAGGACTACTCCAATATTACCTAAAGGACCAATGAAGTATCAAGGGACTACTCCATTATTACCTAAAGTACCAATGAATGATCAAGGGACTACTCCATTATTACCTAAAGAACAAATGAAGTATCAAGGTACTACGCCATTATTACCTAAAGGACCAATGAAGTATCAAGGGACTACTCCATTATTACCTAAAGAACCAATGAAGTATCAAGGGACTACTCCAATATTACCTAAAGAACCAATGAAGTATCAAGGGACTACTCCATTATTACCTAAAGAACCATTGAAGTATCAAGGCACTACTCCATTTTTACCTAAAATACCATTGAAGTATCAAAGGACTACTCCATTATTACATAAAGTACCATTGAAGTATCAAGGGACTACTCCATTATTACCTAAAGTACGATTGAAATATCAAAGGACTACTCCATTATTACCTAAAGTACCATTGAACTATCAAGAGACTACTCCATTATTACCTAAAGTACCATTGAAGTATCAAAGGACTACGCCATTATTACCTAAAGTACCATTGAAGTATCTAGGAACTACTCCATTATTACCTAAAGTACCATTGAACTATCAAGGGACTACTCCATTATTACCTAACGTACCATTGGAGTATCAAGGGACTACTCCATTATTACCTAACGTACCATTGAAGTATCAAAGGACTACTCCATTATTACCTAAAGTACCATTGAAGTATCAAAGGGCTACTCCATTATTACCTAAAGTACCATTGAAGTATCAAGGGACTACTCCATTATTACCTAAAGTAACTTGAAGTATCAAGGGACTACTCCATTATTACCTAAAGTACCAATGAAGTATCAAGGTACTACGCCATTATTACCTAAAGAACCAATGAAGTATCACGGTACTACGCCATTATTACCTAAAGTACCATTGAAGTATCAAGGAACTACTCCATTATTACCTTAAGTACCATTAAAGTATCAAGGGACTACTCCATTATTACCTAAAGGACCTATAAATGATCAAGGGACTACTCCATAATTACCTAAAGAACCAATGAAGTATCAAGGGACTACTCCATTATTACCTAAAGAACCAATGAAGTATCAAGGGACTACTCCATTATTACCTTAAGTATCAATGAAGTATCAAGGTACTCCTCTATTATTACCTAAAGGACCAATGAAGTATCAAGGGACTACTCCATTATTACCTAAAGGACCAATGAATGATCAAGGGACTACTCCATTATTATCTCAAGAACCATTGAAGTATTAAGGGACTACTCCATTATTACCTAAAGGACCAATGAAGTATCAAGGGACTACTCCATTATTACCTAAAGTACCAATCAAGTATCAAGGGACTACGCCATTATTACTTAAAGGACCAATGAAGTATTAAGGGACTACTCCATTATTACCTAAAGGACCACTGAAGTATCAACGGACTACTCCATTATTACCTAAAGGACCAATGAAGTATCAAGGGACTACACCATTATTACCTAAAGGACCAATGAATGATCGAGGGACTACTCCTGGGAACTGATGATGATCGTATTTATCCAGATCTAAACCATGATAAATCAGATCATGACAAGCCTAAAATAAACGATCATTAAAGGGAGACTTCAATAATTTAAAACAAGGTTAAAATTACTGGATGTAAGGTACTTTCCCAAAAAGGTTTTTTTCCGAGCGCCCAATTCCCAATGGTATTTCCCCAAGCGGTAACTTCCCAACTGTGAAAAATCCCAAGCGGCAACTTTCCAAATGTGCAAATTCCCAAGCGGCAACTTCCCAAGTCTGTCCTAGCCGCAAAGCTCGGCTCCCAGACCTTCCTACCCGTAGTGCTAGGCCCCGAGTCCATCCTAATCGCAGTTCTCGGCCCTGATTGCAGGCCTGGGGCGCCTCAGAAGGCCTAACCTAAACTTTGGGAAATTGCCGCTTGGGAAATTTCCCATCTAGAAAGTTGCCACTACTCTACGCTCCTCAACCTGGGCACTCTCATGGCACTCTCATTGAATAAATTGAATCCTTCGGGGGTAATTTCTAATTATTTTGATTGATTTGATTTTAACTTTGATTTTAATTATTCTGAGAGTAAATGATACTTTGTTTTTAAGAATTTCATATCTTCCATGAAATTTTATCCTAATTTTGAAATAATTTGAATATAATCCACATAATACTCTTGTTGACCATAAATACAACTTATAACTCTCCCCCCCCCCCTGTAAGTGGTCTTTACCAAAACCCCTCTCAGAAAAACTCCAAACCAAAGCAAGTCTCCGTTCAAATTTATCTATACTCTCCGACAAAGAAACAACAATCAGTAAAACGTTTTGCTAAGTGAAAGATCAAATCCATAAATAACTTTGCAATCCATAGTTAATTCCACTTAAACAACCAGGTTTATATTTTCAGAAGTATTTACTCTGTCCGAGTTGAGGAGCCTAACCAACAAACCAACCTAACCAACACACCAATAACCAACCTACCTAACATCCAAGTAACAACCCCCCCTCCCTCAAGTTCTTACAACTTTGCCTGTATGTCTGTTTGTTTTTAACCGAAAAAAGTCAAAATGACTAAACCAATAGGGCCCAATTTTTTTGTGGGACCTTGCATGACCCCAGAGAAGGTTTATGAATGATGAGAATTTTAAATATTAATTCCAAAAAATTTAAATAGTAAAATTTTTAAAATTCACAAAAATATATGATGAAATCCGCAAACTTTTTTGTTCTGTTTTATATTGTAGGAAGAGAAAATGCTTACAGAGCTACACTAAATATTTGGTGAAAGGAGGGAGGAAACCCGCGGACGCCATGAGCCTCCAGTTTGCAGACTCGAGCCTCCCAGATTTGCTAGGCAGACCGAGCCTCAGCTATGCAGTAATGAGCATGCGCAATACATCAAAATTTGCCTGTGTAAAACAGGAGGTTTTTTTAAACTTGTGTTTTAAGTGTTTAAATAAAAGATTTTTTCAAAAATTTTTCTACATGTAGCATGAGAGGTTTCTCAAAGATGAAAAGTATTTATCAATTATCATAAATAGTGCCTAATTATGACTAATAAAGTGGAATATAAAACTTTTTCACACAAAAAGGTAAACAACTTAAATTGAATTTCATTTCATCTTTTATAATCTTAGATTTAAGCAATACCTTTTTTGTATTTCAAATTAAATCTAAAAAATTTGTATCATTTATTTAAATCTTAACATTTTTCAAAAAAAGGTATAGGTAAAAACATAAAAATAAAATTATAATTTGAATTTTTTTAAAAAGCTTTCCAAAGGAGACCATGCACATTTTCGAATATTATTGCCGCTCCAAGATAAAACTAATTTTTAAAAAGTTTTCCACTAAAGAACACAATTTAATGACAACTTAAAAATCATCTTTAATCTTGAAGAAATATCTATTATAAAGGCAAGGGGTAACATTTCTTAAAAATTATCATTTAACACTCCTAGTTCTGGCATTTCCAAAATGTCCTTTGTTAAAGCTTATAAGAGATATGAAAAATTATTTGAAATTTCTATTTTTTCATCAAAACCAACAGACTGTACAGACTGTACATACTGTACAGTGTACAGACTGTACATACTGTACAGTGTACATACTGTACAGTGTACATATTTATTAAAATCAAACATCTAGGTGAGAAGAAAACACATTTGAGACTTATAATCAGTGTTTAAGATCCATTTAATTTTGATGCGGATCCGGGTCCGGATCCAGGTCATTTCTTTAAAATTTATTGAATTTTTTTATCCTAAAACTTGATGAACCATTAAGAAATGAGGAAATCTCTCTTTTTTTCAAAAGTTCAGATTTTGGTTTTAGGAGTAAAAAAGATTTTTTTGCAGTTTTTGATTAATTTTTTACCCCTTGGATCCGCATATTTTTGCGGATCCGGATCCAGGAAGCCAAAATCTCGAGGATCCTAAGCACTTCTTGTAATCAAATCAAATCAAATCAAATCAAATCAAATCAAATCATGTGTTTAGGGAGTCCTACCATCTACTCCTCAAACTTGAAATGAATATACTAGTTCAAGGATGTAGTGAGGTCTTATAGCTTGTACTTTATTGAACTTGATGTCTAATCTGTATCTAAAATTAAAATTGATGTATTGTACATCTAGAGGGTTTCGGTAAAATAGAAAATTGCATTTGTAGCTTAACAACCTTTTAAAATAAAGATAGTTAGTAAAGATCGAGGATCTACTAACCGTATACTGATCACTTTAGTTTCAACTTTCCCACCATGCATTTTTATAATTTATTTTCTGAAATTTTAATAACATAAACAAAATGGCGGAATGTGTATTCTAAAAGTTGCATAAAATGTTAGTGATGAAAACAGATAAAATACAGTAGTGTTATAATATCAATTTAAATTTATTATATTCTCAAATGCACTTTAAGCTATTAAGCTATAAAGTTGCTTTAAATGAGTAAGCAACTGCAACTGATTTTGTGAGATTAATTTGTTTAAGGTGACAGAAATAATTCACAACTGAACCCTCAAGAGGCGTTAACAGGGGGGGGGGGGTTTAAAGTGCTACTGGATAATGAACTTCTTTGTTTTAAGCCCCCACCCCCCTGTTCTTAATCCTGTATACGCCCTTGGAATACTTTTAATAAACATCGAGAATGACAAATCATATTTTGTATGCATCATACTAAAAATTGGCCTTTTCCTTGCTCGTCTGATCTATAGAAATCCACATGTGAATTGTTTTAAATACATAGAAAATCCTTTCCCAAAAAACAATATTTTAGACATTGTAGCACTCATCTTGCTGTATTAAAATCTCCATTTTTTGTGCTATATACCTCTCACGGGCAGCCGTAGTACATTTGAATTTCCTAGCTACTGTAGGAACAGCTGTGAAGTAGCGGGAAGGTCAGCTACTGCAGGAACAGCTGTGAAGTAGCGGGTAGGTCAGATTCCCCAAGTTTACTCCAGTGAGGTGATGCTTTATCCTTCGCCAACCAGTTGAAATCTCCAACCTTCAAAAGTGAGAACTTTTTTAGAAACGACATTTTTTTCAAAATCTAATTTTTTTATGCATAAACGTAATATGTAATCTATTTTAGAATCTGATATCATATTTTTAATCTTTCATCCCTGTTATTGCCAAGGGGTGAAATAGGAGGGGGGGGTTACCTGGTCCCAATTATTGATATTTTTATCAAGTCTCGATATTTCCCAGATTTCTTCAGATATCTCAGATAAGAAAGGGTTTCCGCAAAACCTTAACAGATATTACACATCATATTATCATCCAATCCATCCATCATTCATCATTCAGTGAAATAAGAGTCGACGTTTCTTGCAATTGACTTTTGTCCAGCTAACAATAGGGCGTGGAGGGGGCGTGGGGGTATTTTAGGAGAAAAACTCTAAAAAAAATCGAAAAAATGAAAAATAATTAGGTTTTCAATTTCTTATCAATTGATTAATTAACAAGCGTTTATTCCTCTGTGTCTGTTTTTGGCTGGCACCTCAAAATTTCTAATCAATCAATAAATAAAAAAAGATCATTCCATGAAAATGAACAGAAAATCATATCTTTATCCCAAAACCTTTTACCTTAACTGATTGCAGTCTTCTATGACAGCCTGAAATATATAAATAAATATCTATCAATTGTTCGCATAAAAATAAATACATCAATCAGTGAAATCAGTGAAATTTTTTTATTCAATGTCTTATTTCTGTTGGAAATATGAAATAAAAATTTGTCTATTTTTTATCTGTCTATCTGTCTATCTGTCAATATGTCTATCTGTCTGCCTAGTATCTGTCTATATGTCTAAATTTCTGAATGTCTATCTGTCTATCTGTCTATCTGTCTATATGTCTATATGTCTATATGTTTATATGTTTATATGTTTATATGTCTATCTGTCTATATTTCTATCTGTCTATCTGTCTATTTATCTATATGTCTATATGTCTATATGTCTATATGTCTATATGTTTATCTGTCTATCTGTCTATCTGTCTATCTGTCTATCTGTCTATCTGTCTACCTGTCTACCTGTCTACCTGTCTACCTGTCTATCTGTCTATCTGTCTATCTGTCTATCTGTCTATCT